ATTAACATACTTATCTTCTAAATATCCTCCTTTCATATCATGACATAATAAGATTTTTTGTCGTGGTGATGTATGTCGTGGAATAAGTGGTGAACTTTTGAAACGATTTGTTAGACATGATGCTGATATATCAAGTAAATCAGAAAGATTTTTAATAGGAGAACATACTGTTGCAGTCTCCTTTGTAAACATCTACAATGATATGATTAATTAATAAATTCAATTATGTAAAAGGAAACTATATGTAGATAGTGTAGTTATGATCTAGTAAAGACTGATACGGGCGCAATAGTAGATTCACTACTCGGACTATAAGCCTTCTTTAAGAGTATGGGGATGATTTTATCGTTTTGAAGTGTCCATATGTACTTTGTTTAGTCAACTAACTCGAGAGATGTATATATACTTTGCTCTTTCAATAAGCTAAGTTTGTCTTGCACAATCTACAATATTACTCCATCCTTCTTCGACTATCCAGTGTTCAATTTACATAGAAACATACAATTTTTGATTATACTTCTTTCAATTTTAGACGGACATTTCAAAAAAGTCAATATTGCAAATAAGAGCCTTGGTCAAATTCTATCCCATGAAAATGTTTCCGACTTTTTTTTCAACGAACATCACTAATTATGGGCGTTGTTAACAACTGATGAAATGCTTTGGAATAATAAAACCTTCTTAAACAAAGTGATTAAATCCTTGTCTTTTTAAATGTTTCATAAGAAACCATTGATATAGAACATGAGAACAGATATCATCGTACACAAAAAAAAGGAAAGAAATATGACTAGGATTTATTATTGTCTAGTTTTCGTCGTTTAATAGATGCTGATGTTGTTGTTGTTGTTGTTGCTGCTGCGGGTGCTGTTGGTAATGGTGGTGGTACAACTGAATTACCATTTTCTAATCGATCAATAAATGTTTTATTTTCCATATACAATTGTTCATTTTTATGAATACAATCAATTAATGATTTAATCGTTGATACTGATAATGGAATATTCATTAAATTTTCATCAATAGTTAATTGATCATGTAAATCATCTTGATCAATTTTATTTTCTTGTATATGAATTGAATTATTTTCTAATAGAATTTGTAAATGTTGTAGAATAAATTTTAAACCATTTTCATTTGCCATTTTAATTGTACCAATTTTATAATCAATTTTTTGTTTTGTTTGATCATTTTCACGTTGAATCCATTTTTGTAATATACGTTCAAGATAACGCCAAAATATGTCATGATGTTTTTCATGCCATAAAAGACAAAGTTTTTCTGAAAAATGTTTGGTTAATTCATGTGCAAATAAACAACAAATAAGACCATAGGTTGGAATTTTTGTTTTTAATATATCATAAACATTTGCTAATGCTATTGTATTACGATAGGTTGTATAATGAATTGATTTAGCTAAACGTTGTTCACCAATAACAGATTTTGATTGATTAAGTAAATGTTCAATTATATTTGTAAATAATTGTTCATAATCATTTTGTACAAAATCATGTGCACCTAATAATTTCCAAAAATCTTCTTGTTCAATTTGAGAAAATAATAATGTTTGATCAACTATAGAATAAAGTTTATGAGAATTAAATAATTGTAAACGATGTTTAAGAATATCTAACATAAATTGTTCTAATTCAAATTGATTGATTGTATGTAGAAGAAGACGAATTAATTTAAAATTATTTAAGAATTTTTTCGAATAAAGACGATACATATAGGAAAATAAATACAAAAATGTTTCAGTATCATCTTGTTCACAATGTGTTAAAATTTCAAGAATGAAATCAATAAAATCTTGATCATATGTTGGTATTTTAGCAGGTGGCATAGCGGTTCTAAGAAAAGAATAAGAGATAGTTTAATATATTGTTTCAATCAAATAGAAAAGCTCAATACAAACATAATGGCAATAAACTTAGGGATATACCGAGCTTGAGCTCCTCGGGCTCGATCAGGGCTCGGTTAGGTTCAGTCAGGCTCAGGCTCGATCGGGGCTCGATCAGGGCTCGAGGCTCGGGGGTCAGGATGGGTGTGGGTGAAAGTGTGAGTGAGAGTGAAAAGGATAGAAGCAGCAATCACCACATCCACACTCTCACTCTCACCCAAACCCACCCACTCTCACACCCGTTCTGACACCCCAGCCCTGACCGAGCCTCAACCTGGCCCAGCTCGAGTCCGAACGGCCTGTTTAGGGCTCGGTACATTCCTAGCAATAAATTATAAGAACTTGCTATATATTTTACTATTCATTACTATCTTTTGTCTTCGATCATTTAAACTTACTTTCTATGATCTGTACTTAATTTAATAATATCCTTTGCAAATTTTTCAAAAATATCTGCTGCCATTTTTACATCATCAATATCAATTGATAAATAATAAAGAAATATGTAGGCTATTTCTGGTTGAAAGAAATACATAGATTGTATAAGTTTTATATAAACATCTTGATTGGGTATATCATCTTTAATTAAACGAAATAAGACACATATAGATAATTGTTTTATTGAACGTTTTAATTTTTGTTGTGGAATTTCACGAAAATTATTTTCTAACATTGAATTTGTTTTATTTGTTTGTGATATTCTTAGTGATGGTAATAAACGATTTGGAAATGAATCTCGTAATAACCATAAACATAGGAGACCATTAACAATTGTTTGTTCATCAAATGTAGTTAATAAACGTGATTGAAATTTCTCACTCGTCTTTTCAAATTTTATCATTGCATAGGAAGTAATTGGTCCAGCTGGATCAATTGCTTGTGTTTGAAATGTAAGTAGACGTTTATCACTTAATGTTGAAGCAATTTGTTTACATATTTGTATAAGTAAAGAAGATTTATTTCGATTTGTTGATGCCGAATAAGATAAAGATAATTGTTGAATATGTTCATTTATATATGAACGAAATCGATCAAATGGAAAATTTGAACGTATTATATTTGTATTATATATATCAGTTGATGTTTTTGTTTCATCACTAATCATTAAAACATCATCATCATCATCATAATCTTGATCTAAACTTTTATGTGAACTTAAACGATTTTCATAATCATCATCATCATCTTCATCATCTGAAAAACGTGGTGTAGCTGCAGTATTTGAGGACATTATCATTATATCAGATGGTACTTCATCGTCTGTTGCTGGCATAGCAGCATTTGGACTAATATCATCGTTAATTATCATTATATCATCATTGTCAGGAGAAACTATAATAAAAAAATTCTTTTTTTTTAATTTCTACAACAATAATAGCTTCAGATAGAAAAAGAGGAATAACAACATGAATATATTCTTCACTTAATCTATTAATCGTAATATTTTTATTTCTTTTTAGTCTTTCGATGTATTCAGAATGAATAGAATTTACTATGACTATAATAATTTGTTAAAAAAACATATTTCAAGTAAAAACTCTTTTCATTCTTAGTAATTTTGTTTATTTCTAGTTAATAAAACAACATAAGTATGGATAACAAAACTGTCCAGCATTATTATCCAATTCATTGACATTTGACACTTTGTATATACATCCTCATAGAGTGATAAATACAAATCAGGATACAAATAGTTCCTTGAAAACAAAAGATGTATATATACACGTTCCATTTTGGAATAACTCGTATTATTCGCTTGCCAAACTACATTTATTATACTATTAGATTATTAAGTAAGTATAGCAACTGTAAATCTTTGCTTTATAAGTTTGTAGAATTAGTCGTACGAGGGAACATATCCATCTGTCGGACGCCATTCGAGCCCATATTTTGGCTACAAATAGGACTCAGTCAGACTATGAAAACGATAAAAAGGTTCGTGCCCATAGTATGTCTCTGATAAGATCTCAAGATTTTCGTGAATTTTTGCTATTGCACCCCACTTTTGTATCGAAACTATACTTTCGAATTTTGCCTTGAAACTTTGTCCGCATAAAGGTCTCAAACAGACGAGTTTGCATAAAAAATTTCAGAAGTCTCGAACAAAGTCTTTTCGAGATACCAAGGTTTCAAAAATGCATGTCATACGTACTATCTATGAAAAAGGAGCCTGTGTTTCGATAGTTTTATATCTCGAAGAGATTTAGTTCAAACCTTTTGAAGTTTTTTATACAAGCTAGTCTAGCTGAGACCTTTATGTGCCAAAATTGTCAAGGCAAAATTTGTAAGTATAGTTTGGATGCAAAAGTAGAGTATAATAGCGAAAATTCACTAAAAACTTGATATCTCATCAGAAACACGTCATTAGCATGAGCCCTATTACCGCTTTCTTATTCTCACTGAGTCCTACTTGTGGCAAAATATGGGCTCGGATGGCGTCCGACCGTTGGATATGTTTTCTCATCAATTTTAGTAGTATAAAAATCGATTGGAAAATATTTTCAAAGATCTTACTTGCTGTAGTTGACATTGGCAATGAAAAAAATGTTGTTAATAAACGTTGATATGTATCTCTATCATGTGTAAACATTTGTAATAATTGTTGTGAATTTAAAATCGGTATACGTTGAAATAATTCCATAAATAATCTTGCAATATTTTGTTGTAGGAATGATTTTAATGATACTATTAAATTTTCTGATGTATATAAAAGAAATAATAACATTTGTTTAGCCTGATGATATGATATAGTTAATAAATGATAACCAACAATTGTTGAATTTAATTGTGTATCAAATTCATTTGTCATTTGTTGTAAATTATTAATATCAAATAAAAACCAATCATAATAAATAGCTAAACGACATTGAATAATTTGTTCATTAATTTGTATTAATTGTGGTGATGATGATGATAGAAATGCAGCTGCATTCATTGCTGTTTGACTTGCTGATATTAATGTTTGATGTAATGTTTGTTGATAATTATATAATTGTGTTAATAACCATGATATAAATGTCCAACGTGTTATTTTTTGTGGATTCAATTGATTTCGACAAACAACACATACATAACGAATAATATGTGAACATAAATAAATACTATCCGGATGTTGTTTAAAATTTAAATATTGACTTTGAAACCATTCAAAATAATATTTTTCTTGACTATTTATACGACAATTATCAAGAAGAAATTGTAAATGTCGTTCTAAATCAAATGATAATGGTAAAGCAAGATATTTTGGTTCTGTTTCTAATGAAAGAATTTTAGGTAAATAATCATTTGATGTATTTAATGATAAATGTTTTAAAAACGCATCAATTTCACGTACATGTCCTAATTGTATTAATACACGTATACCATCTCGGCCAAGACAATGAATATTTTCACGTGTTAAATTTATTATAAAATCAATTTGTCGTTGTTGTTGTTGTGATTTACGACGTATATAAATAGGAAATATGGAAAGAAATGTATAAATTGTTAACAATTTCATTTCAGGATATGTTTTTAAAAATAATGGATGAATTAAAAGTAATTCAATAATTGTTTCACATAAATCTAAACATTGTTCATGTGGATTGATTTGTCGTAGGAAAACATAATAAAGACGATCAATACCATCAATATTAGCTGCTAATGTTTCACGAAGAAACCATATTAATTGTTGACGAACATTATCATAAATTCGACGCCAATTTTTCATAATTAATGTTTCAAGTGTACCTATTATTGACGAAAGATTTGTACCATTAAGTGCAATTAAATCTTGAAAACATTTTGCTTTATTATTTATATCTGTTAATATTCCATAGAGAAGTGCATGAGATATATGATCTTTCGATTTCTTATTTGTTTGTCCTATTTGTACAAGTGTATTTGATTCGATTGTATAACGATTTTGTTGTATAGCAGCAAAACATGATTCAAGATAAGCATCAGTTGGATCTTTTAATTCAATTTGTGTATATTGTAAAAGTTTCGAATCAGGAGAAATTAATTTAATATTATTTGTTGCCATTAATTTTATTTAATTGATCATTATTATGAATTTTATCTAGAAATATATATATATAACAAAAATTTTCTTGACAAATATGTAATACACGACAATCCCATCAATCAATGTTATGATGAACAGAGGGCGTGAATATACAAATGTAACATAACATTCTGTGGACATATTCATTAAAAATGATACATTATAGAAATCTTGAGTAAGATTAGAAGTTTATCGAATGAATATTTTTTTATTGGTTTGTATGATATTAATGAAATTTTTACAAGAGACAAATATCATGTCAGTTTCATATTTAATACATAACAAAAAAAATTAATCTTTACAATATAGATTTTATTTAACAAATAAATGACGAAAATCAATATACAAGATTTATTATGATGCTCGAAGATTAGATGCAAGTGTTGGTTCAGCAATCCAACTTTGTTCAACAGTTATTTTAACACGTTTTTCATAATCACGTCGATTTGTTTGATATAGATTTGCTGCTTCCGAATTAGCTGGAGATGAAACATTTGGTTCATCAAGTAAAGACTACAAATAATAAAAAAAAAATGAGATAATATTCATTTTTATTAATTACTTGAATTGATGTAAGAATAGCTGAAACATCATATGTTGGTGACCAACGATTTTGAAGGATATCAAGACAAATACCACCATCAGCATAAACTATTTAAAAATATTTATTCTTAAAAAAATTAATTAATCAATAATTTGTTTACCATTCGGATGAAACATTTTCGATGTAAATCGAACCGATGGCGGTTTATTTGGATAAGATTCCGTAAATTCTAATAATTCAATCATAATATATAAATTTAATCATCTTAGAAATAAAATCTCTGAGTATATTATTGAGTTTTCTCATAGGAAAAAAAAGACATCAATTTATCAAGTTAGTTAGTCTAATCTCAAATATAGAAATATTATATGATAAGATTGTTCCGAGATAAAAGTTATAATCAAATAAATCATATTTGATTAGTTGTCATATATGGACAGCTAAATAATGTTTTCTAGATTTGAGATTCCAACGTATAAATTTACACATTATTGAACATACCTAATAATAATCGAAATGTACCATCTTCAAATGGTGTATCATTTGGTCTAAAAAAGAAAAATTATTTTCTTTAGTCATCTGTTTTTAACTTACCCCAAGATAAACGCATGCCAAATAAGAATGTTATCATCTGATGGTACAGCAGCGATACCAGCTGGTGGATCTTTTTGTAATCTATTAATTTAGTTTTAGATACTATCAAGATGAATTATTTAACTTACTGTTTAAAATCTCGCATTAAACGAAGACGAGATGGTGTAGACATATTTTCTGAAAAATGATAATCTGAAAAACAAACAAAAAGCAAAAATTGAGATTCTCTTTTTCCTTTTAATAAAAATAAAATCTTTTATTAAACTCTTCCACTTATTCGATGATGCCTAGAATAAAAGAAGATTAAATCATATATATACATATTATCATTGACATAACAAACCATTCATATTTTGCATCTTTTAACCAACGTTGAAATTTTGGTGTTAAATAATTTCCTATGATAATTTGCATTGGATGATAAATTAACAAAGGAATTGTTATTGAAGTATTCTCAGGAAAAATCATTTGTAAAATAGGCATTCCTATATATTTATAGATTAAAATAAAATATTTGATGATAGTCTTTTTAAAGATGATATTTACCAGTAGTTAATGATTTTTGACTACCACAAAATATAATAGCAATTGTATCACTTGGACGAACATGCATTTGTCGACAAGTAGAAAAAAGTAGAAAAATTAAAAACATTTGTATACTAAAAACTAATAGAATAAAAGAAAATAGGAGAAATTAATTACATAAATTATATTTTACTTGTAATAACAAGAATAAAAAAGTTAATCAGTGTTATATTCATTGACCCACGTTGTTTAAATGTCTGACAAAACGTTGTATAAATATTCAAAAGTAATATCCAACTAAACAAAAGTAAAAAGAAACATGTATATAATACAATGTATACTATTCTACTTATTAATTGTATTGGAATATGGATTCATTCGATTAATAAAAAGTGGAAAATAAATACGTGCTAATTGTCCAATGCCAAGTGGTATCAAGATGGTACTTGAAAGTGATATAAGTACATGTAAAAAAGATTTTGTTTCACCGGAGAATGATCCACCAAGCTATTAATTAAAAAATGCATGTTTACCTTAGATATATATGGTATATAAATACCGAACCATGATGTAGAGAAGTATTGGTGTGACTAGTGTTCCTAATAGACTACCAATTGTTGAATTTAACATTGCAATTGCCTAGAATAATCAATTAGTTAAATAAAACATCTGTTTTTTTCTTCTTCTTCTTTCATTTACTTCATTTCCACCAATAGCGCGAACAACAAAAGCAGCAGTCGATACTGGTGATGGGAGAGTTCCTAATGCTTTTATTCTAAGAAAAAACATTTAAAATAATTAAGTAATAAATATAAAGAAATTTTACCCAATAGAAAGTTGATACTGATATGTTAGAAAACGATAGATTGTCGATAATATTGTAAATAGAATAGGACAAACAAGAAATGAAAATATTTGTATAAATAAATGAGTTCGATATTGAAGAATTGTTTCATAAAGCTCCTAATCATATAAAGATTGCTCAGAAAATAGAAAAAAGTTTGTAAAGTTTTTACTTCACCACGTATTGAACAACCATTTAGTAGAAAAATAACTATAGTTCCTAATGATTTTATTGTTAATTCAGGTTTTAGAGGTCCTAAAAAAAATATTTTCATTTCCTTTTTGATATTCCTTATATATTTGTTATAAATGACCTTCTTTTGAACCGAATTCTGGATAAATAAAAGCTAACAGAATAGAAAAAAAAATTCCATAAAGAAACCAGTATTTTGACAAGTGTGTTTTTCGATTAAAGACAAACATATGTATATGTATCTAAAGAACATAATAATAGAAAGCAATCAACAAAGTAGCTTAGTCAAAAAGACATTTATTTAATAATTCATTTATTCAATGATAGTATACTAGAATGGCTTATTTCGTTGTTTGCCAGAAACGTTCTCAATTCCAATCATCTTCCGTTTTTATATTCTCGTGAGAGAGAGAGAGAGTGAGGGCGAGAGTGGGAGAGAGAAAAGATCATCAGTCGTGAATTGAATATGATGAAAAAAAAGAAGAAGAAAGGACAGAGAGATCGACGACTGTTTAGTAATTCGGACCTACGGACGTTTCCGCATTTATTTGCTTAGAATTTTTTATCTCTCGTTTTTTTTTGCTTCGATATTTACAACATATAAAGAAAGAAGAAAAAGACACTGATGTAATCAAATTGACTCAAGCGCTCCTTTCGCTATGGCTAGTGCGTTTTTCTCTTTTCTTCCATTTGTCACGCGCTTACATAGGAAATGGATAGAGTGTCTATGTTAGTTGTATTGTTATTGAAATACATTGTATATTAAAGATAGTTTGCTATCAGATTCTCACTCTCTATCTTTTTTTATAGAGAGTACATGTAAACAATCTGAAGAATATGTTTGAAAATGAAGAGCGTTACAAGGAGAGAGATAATGTGACCATACACGTAACAACATAGTACAACTATTCTCTTATTATTTTTTTTCTTTGAGTTCACCCATCAATAATGCCTTTAAGTTTCTCTGACAACGGCGTGTGCACACACACGCAAACACACACACATGCATGCGTTTCGAAGTAGAAAAAAAGCAAAGAACTATCAACATAAGGAACGAGAATATGTGGGAGAGTCTTTTTATGAATAAAAAAAAAAAAAGAACGTTTTTTTTTTTCCTATAACAAATAAGTGTTCATTCATGATTAATTGTCGTTTTTTCCTTATTCTTTTTAGATAAATATATATAGGAAAAATGTCTGACGAAAGTAACAATCATTCTTCATTTGATTTATTGATTCGAGCATTTTATCAAGACGATCGTACGCAATTCGATGTTGAACTTAACCATTTATTAGATTTATCACGAACGCAAGACATGCGTTTGTGTACACAAATCATTCTTCAAGCATATAAACAAAATGAATATGCTTTTCTTGAAGAATTACTTGATCGAGAAGTTATTTATAGTGGTATACCTAATTTAACATCATTACATGCTGCATCAGGTTACGCATTATCACGTCTTGTTAAATATCTTTTCGATGAACGAAAAGCAGATCCAAATCAAACATGTACATTTGTAAAAAACGACCAACTGTCAGGTATATTTATAACAAATATAAATAACTAGTCTCAAATTTCTATTTTAGGTATAACACCTTTACATTTTGCTTGTGGTATAGGACCCGAACATCTTGTTGATGAAACAACTGATACTGTAAAATATCTATTAGCATCCGGTGCTGATGTTAATTTAGTCACATCACGTTATGATACAGCTTTACATTGGGCATCAAAATTTGCCAATGAACAAGTTGTTCAATTATTACTTGAATATAAATCAAATGTCAATGCAATAAACAGTCTACAATATACGCCTCTATGTGGTAAAATGAAGAAAATATTTTTTTAAAAAAATATTAACTTTTTTTTTTTAATATTTTTTAGAAGCATGTTTTTATGGTAATTATGAAATTGTAAAAATTCTTGTAGAAAACGGCGCTAATGTTAATGGAAATCAAAATGATGAACGTTCTCCAGGTAAATAATACTAGACAAAAATATGACACTTATACGTTAAAAATTATTTTATTCGATACTAAAAGCATTGTCTTCTTTTAAAAATAGTTGAGAGTCTGGGGAGAGAAAATATATATATAGGAAAAAGAGAGAGCGAAGTAATACAAGTGTATCTCGTGGGATAAAAAAGTCATTTACTGTTATATATTATTAATAAGTTTAATGGAAGAAAACAAACAAAAAAAAATCTTTTATGCGTATGTCAAATCAAGGTCAAAATTATAATAATCTAGCTAGAACTAGGAAGTGATCAAACCTTATGTGTATATATATATATACATAAATATGTATTCATTACCATTTTCTGAGACAGGAAGTTTGTTGGACATTAAATATTAATGAGGAAAAAGAGACAAATTTACATATCATTTAATCTAAAAAGGAAATAGAAAGTTTATGTCAAAATGATGATAGAAAAAAACAAATGAATATTAGTGATATACTGAAAAAGATATTAATCAATAAAATATTCGCTGATTATTCATGGTGCAATAGTGACTTTTTTTTTGATTACATAAGATATACTTTATCTGGAAAAAAAGGAACTTCCTGGCATAAAGTGTACAAATTCCGGAATAGAGTAGTTGTCTTATATAATTAAAAGAAAGACGAAGCTTTCAGTTAGAATTTTAAATAAGAAAATTATCTATATTCTAGTTCATCTTGTCTGTCGTGGTTTATTAAGTGAACATGATGCACGTCGTAGTAGTCCATTAAATGAAAAAATCATTGAAAAACTTGAACAACGTCTTGAAATAGTCAAATATTTATATTCACATGGTGCATCCATTGATACATTTGATCGTGATGGTCTTACACCATTTATGTATGCATGTTCAAGTGGAAATTATTCACTTGTGAAATACTTGATCGATGAACAAAAAAATAAAGATGATCTATCAACATCAAGAATAATAAATGAACGTTCGCATACAGGTGAAACATGTTTAATGTATGCGATTGAATCGGGTAACTTAGATATTGTTACACTTTTATGTAATCATGGAGCTAAACTTGATGATCAAAAAAGTCCTTCTTATGTAACTGCTGCTGCTTTTTATGGACATAAAGATATACTCGAAAAATTAATACAACTCGGACTTGATATAAATGAATTTGGTATGATAAAAAAATAAATAAAATCTCAGTTTTTTTTCCGCAATATAATTTCTAGATCAAAATGAAGATGGTGTCATATTTAATCCGGTTTATGCTTGTTGTCATTGTGGGTCGGTAGAATGTCTACAATTATTACTGGAGGCTAAAGCAAAAATTGATTGGAAGACAAGTCAAGGTAGTTTGATTCTATTTCTTATCTAATTGGGAAAGCAATCTATTATATCTTTGCCTATAGGAACAAATCCTTTACATGCTGCCTGCTATTCAGATAAAAGTTCAACAAAACTTGTTGAGTTACTCTGTCAATATGGTAATTTTGATTTAAATGAAAGTACAAATGCTGGTGAAACACCTCTACTTATGGCTATTGAACAAAACGATTATGATTTAGTCGATTATTTATTAAGACAAGGTGCTTATCCTGATCGACCAAATCACGATGAATGTTTTCCTATTCATCTAGCTTGTTTTAATGGTCAAGCAAATATTCTCTATCTACTTCTAGCATTTAATGCAACTATTGAACAATCGAATGAAAATTATCCACATCCATTAGTCATTACAACATATAAACGAGATTTAATTTGTTCGAAATTATTGATCGAATCACCGAAATGTTCTGATCGAGTCGTTCGTGAAGTCTTAATTGATTCAATCGAAAGTGGTTTTGATGAATTAATAGGTGAAATAATTCGTACGCGTCCTCATCTTATACCTGATGATCTCAAAGATAAAATGACTGATACACTTCTCGCACTCGAACAACTTAATCTTGATTCATCAGCTTAATTTTCATTAAAGTAAATTAAATTTCAATGAAAATATATTCAAGAAAGAAAACAGTAAAAACATTATTTTAAAATTTTATTTTTCGTTTTGTTTTCACAAAAAAAAA